GCCAACATTAGCTATGGAACACAATTAAATCAAACCCTAGCTATTCCATATAATTTAGGTTATTAGTTTGCTATTTTATACAATTTTCTCAAAGAATAAATTACTTTTGTTAAATCTATCGAAATGTAGGTTAGCTTGAATTTGGACAGGTAAATTATAAAAATGACCTTGGAGAGTATCTAATAAATTTTAAAATTTTAGGGTCATGTAATAAAGTTGAATGTTTTTTCCACTATAAAAAATAATTTAAATTTTTTTAATCTTATGAATAAAGAATTCATGGGTCAACTTATCAACCATGTTCTTTTGCTTAACTAACTTATAGGTTCTGATAATATATTAATTAGATTAATTACTTAATGAATAATCCAACTCATAATGAAGTTTCAAACCTAATTAATCAGAACAACTTGCATTGCCATTAACGTATAAAACAATATGTTGTACTAAATAATGGGGAAGTCTTATATAAGTGCTTATATAATTTATACTATTTAATTACTCATTATAGTTATAGTTTGCTATAATTATCACTCGCGACTAACATTACACATTAATTATGTGGACTGAATTCGAGTTTGTATAATTAGTCATGTTTGTATATGTATAATTCGCCAGAATATACAATACATATGTATAATATACTTTAACCTATATACATTTACAATTCATCTCTCTTCCACTCTCTGCCCTATCTCACTCGCATCTCTTCTCCCTCTCCCAATCTCGCTCGCTCTCTCCTCCCTCTCCCAATCTCGCTTGTCCTACATACAAATGTGTATGTATAATATACAATTATATACATATATAATTCACCTCTTTCCCACTCTCTGGCCTCTCTCCTCCCTCTCCCACTCTTGCTTGCCATATATACAAATACATATGTATAATATACAATTATCTAACCGATATATATACAATTCACCTTTCTCCCTCTCTTTTCCCCCCTCTCCTGCCTCTCTCCTCTCTATCCCAGTCTTGCTTGCCTTTCTCCTCCATATAACATGTAACTACGAATTGTAATTATCAAACTATAGCTATGGAGAGTAATTAGGTTATTTTTAAGTGGCTATATGTGAAAGTTTCCCTATATTAAACTTTATTAATTTATCATGATTAAGTTTATAGATTAAGGTGGAAATATAACGTACGCATCAAATTCATTATGTTTTAATCATAATTGATAATAGAGTACACGAATATGTGTGTCATGTTTTTTATTAGATTAGTATAAACATCAGATGGAGATAAATTTTTTTATTTTCTATTAGATTAGTCTAAACATCGAATCAAGTAAACAACTTGATACCTATCTTGTTCATCCAAAAAATATGCAAGAGGTAGAAGAGAGAGGGGACGTAAACCTTACGTTCGAGTTATATATATATATATATATATATATATATTTTAGAAGACTGTAAATACGTTCATAAAAACTTATGAATTGTGAAGAGACTTTATAACTATATGAAAATACTTTTACTATATATTTATCTACTTACAATTAACTAACTAAAAAAATAACATTTTCATTTATTTATTTTTTGAATTTAGGTAATTGTCATTTACGGAAAGTATATTTTTTTTCCAGCGTCGAATAATAGAAAATAAGATGAAAAGAATTATTATGGATCAGAATAGTCAGAAAATGAAAAACAAAAAGGCTACATCATGCAAGTTCAAGTTTGCAGAAAATAGCCATCTTAACGTGGAAACAAATAGTTACATCCATAGCCACTTCAACTTACTCTACTAGTCCACAACATGTTTGAAGAATAAAAGTGGGATAATTATAGAAATAGCGAACATAATAGACATAATAATCGTACTCCATAGCTATACTTCTATATGCTATGTAGGTTGCGGTTTATATATTTCTGTCTGTTATATATATATATTGCTTGAGATATACAAAATAGAGTAAGTATATACAAATTCTGTATTTATACATTTAGAAATATTTAGAACTCCATTTGTATATTTCGTTTGCCAATATACAAACAGGATAATTTATTATGAATTTTCAATAAATCGTATACAAATAGCTAAGGTATGCATATACAAAATTCTTGATTTATACAATCAGGAACTGAATTATACAAACTCTAAATTTATACAAATCAGGCGAATAGCAAAAATTGGGAAAACTATAGCATCGAATTATAATTTTTTTAAACAGTACCTAATATAAGCGAAATGATTGTTATTCTGCATAATTTTTCCAAACAAGTATCGAAATTATTAATGAATGTATATCTAATGTATACAACCAAGAATTTGAAATGGATTCAAAATTTTACGTATCGATGTGACATTCTATCTCTTTCGTCAGTCCTAAAAAAATGACACGTACATGAATATTCAAGCTTCGTTACAGATGATGCCATATACAACAAATTGTGATAGCTATTATACAAATAAATGATGGATGTTTACATAAAAGATCTTAAAGAGTCTCGCAAAATAATGCAAAAGTACATATTATAGGGAATCACACTTCTTCTTTTTTTCAAATTTGGGGTTATGAGGAAGTGATTACAAAATGGGAATCCAACATTCATCGACAAAATGAAAGTTCAGATTCCCCGAAAAGGAAAGACATCACACTTCGGTAAATGAAACCTCATTCAAACGAAAAGGCATACATATATCACACGTTATTTTATGTTATACGAGCATGAACTGCGAGTAAGTATTTTAATTTTTTCCCCATCAGACGCGATTTGGTGTTACATTAGGCGGAGTAGGTGCTGAACCAACGCGCTTCTTCCCACGCTCTGTCCTGCTGTTTTCCGCGAACTTGATGCTGTTCTGGTGCATTCCCTTTTGTTTCTCATCCTCAGTATACTCAGAACCAAAATAATGTTCTTCAGTACCCTTAATAGGATCTTTAGATGGAGGCAAAAACATACTACCCCACTGTGGAAAATGAACTAACATTACTGGAAGTGTACACGCGATGATCATCATCCCCATATACGTTAGTCCTGTTCCTGTCGAGTACTTTGTGCTCGTGAAAAACAGTAGTTGTGTCAATCCGGAACCAAAATTGCCTCCAGCTCCTGTCATACCTGATATTATACCTAATGATCTTCGCGAAATAAAGGGAATAATTCCAAACGTTGCACCACATGCTGCTTGTGCACCTATTGAGAATATGATCATCCAAGTAATAGCCAGAGGAAGTGTAGTAGCCCTTCCAAGTAGTAAACAGAACACACCACCAAGTGTTTGTAAAATCCATAAATTCCATAATCTGCCTCTCATCCCGAAAT